ATATTGTGATGCCTGTGGCAACCACATGTGACGACCCCGGGCTGGACACAGCGCGAAGTTGATGTATTTCCTCAGCGACCAGCACGGATCAGCTCCAGGCATGACGAAGCGGATATCATCCTCTTTTAGAAGACCAAACAAAGTAGTTTTGCTTTCACAACGAAACACACTTCACGACATGGCGGCGGCAACAATACTACAGCAAGAATAAAAGTTACGCCTTCTTTCTTTGCGTGAACATTTGGGCGGCGTTATGCAAATCTTCCCACATAGTGACGTAGACATGTGGGGGTGTGTTAGAACGAGCCGTTTTAGGTAGGTGTGGCTGACTCTTAACTTTTATAAAGAATATCTCTTTGGATTTGAGACTTTAGTCTTTGCAACTTTACAGATCTTCTTTATGCACCAAGAGCTTGTAACACTCCAAAGAGAAAGGACAAATTGAAATCGCATCATATGACCCCTTTAATAATGACTGATCATCACCATAGCAACATTACAATGACAAATCCAGTGCATTTCTAAAAATGCAGCTTGACGTGTCTGTCTGTTCTGTCCATATATCTACAGGTTTCTGTGCTCGTGTGTGAACTGTAGGCCTGTATGTGAATGTTTGTATTTGTGTTTATGTTTATGTAAAAAAAACGCATAACTAACTAAAATGAATCCATTTTTGAAAAAGCACCTTTTTCAATCTGAGCTAAGAGCTTTTATAATTCAGCTACACAAAAGAGATACATATTAAAGAAAGTTGAGATAGACATAAGAGAGGGGAAATCTGGAACTTTCAGGGTGAGAATAAGAGATTTTTATGGAGCAAATTTTGTGCCAATATGGAGCGCTCAGTGTGAGGCGGGATCACATTAGCGATAATGAGGTGAGACAGGAGAAACTGTACCTCTCCTTACTTTCATACGGATTATATAATCAGATAATATTTGTTTTCAATTTGAATTGGTTTATTTAAAAGTAGACATTTCAAGCTTTCTATACATATAAGTATCATGTATGTGAGGCACATATTCACTGAGTTTCAGGTTGTTTTATTCATGTGCCTGTGAAGAAATTTCCGGAGACCGAGACGGCAGAGAGCGCACCCTGTTTGTTTTCTTTATTTTACAAAAGCACATTGTTTTGTTGTTATTATGACTATACACAAATAAAAGTAGACCCATTGCAGTTTCAAACGATGCCATACTCGTATCTGTATTTTTAATTATTTCCGTGGTCATCAAGAGAACGTGACAAAATGCGCTGGCGCAGTCTTCGACCCCAAAGATTATTTTCTAATCATTACATTGTTAAAATCATTCTGAAATACTGGTAAACCACCGTCAGTGTGAACTTGATCCTTCTCCCCAATTCACAGGACAAGAGTGACACCAGAAGAGAAATATTCATCATTTTGCTAAGCTAAAAAATACATAATTGTTTTAGACACAAATGATTGCAGTGTTACAATAATTTTTTATTTATAATTAATGACCTCTTGGGTGATATCACTATATCTGATACTAAATTAAATTGTCTAAGCTTTCATTTTTGGTACACAATATTGTCGCTATCCATAATACATTTGCATTTTAGTTTTACAATATATTGTGACACGATATATTGTTATAGCCATGCATTGTTTTGAATGTTGAACAATTGCATCAACGTGTATATATTCTATATCCCGCGATCCAACAGAGGATAAGAGGTACGGAGAATGGATCAGTTTTTATAGGGAAAGACTACCTAGTTAAATGTTTAGCCATGTCACTACTGATTTTTGAACTAATCAATCATGTTAACAACTTTACAGCACTTACTGTGAATTTCACTGACACTGTAGTAGGGTCGCTTTGTGAAAACATCTATATGGTTAATTATAGATATAGTAAGACAGAAACTCACCTGTTCCCCACTCATGTTGGTCTGAAAAGATAAACAGGTGTTTCGGGTCTCGGGAGACTAGCGTAAATTGACCGACAGCACCGTCTGCTTTTTTTTAGAAAAGAAAGTAGCTCAATTGCATTTGTGAGAAAATCAAGTCAAGTTTCCTCATAAAAAGGCAAATGAATCTCACAGTTGTAACACACAATAACTATATTTGTCCATACTTCTGCATTTTCTCTCAAGTAGAGTTTTTTATTTGCAAATCGCTTTGCGTTTGTTTGAAAGTCGAGCTTTTCTTTGCGAAGCAGATTGTGTTTATTTACAAAATGCTGGATTTGTTTGATGAATATTGGCACAAAATTCTCTCCATAGATTTTGACAGATCAAGTGACTAGATCATACCAATCTTTTTAAAACAAAAAATAACTTGTACAACTCCTGCTTCCAGTGTTTAGTTTTTTTTCCTTTCTCTCCATCAGATTCCCATCAGCTCACTCTGGATCCAAACACTGCACATAAATGCCTCATTCTGTCTGAAGGGAACAGAGTGGTGACTTGCACTGGCACAGTCCAGCCGTATCCTGATCATCCGGACAGATTTGATTATTATCCTCAGGTGCTGTGTACAGAGAGTGTGTGTGGACGCTGCTACTGGGAGCTGGAGTGGAGTGGATCTGTATATGGTGTTGGTATATCAGTGTCATATAAGAGCATCAGCAGGAAGGGATCGGGTTATGAGTGTTTCTTTGGATTTAATGATCAGTCCTGGAGTTTGTCCTGCTCTCCCTCCAGTTTCTCATTCTGGCACAATAACAAGCAGACTAAACTCCCTGTTCCCTCCAGCTGCAGTAGAATAGGAGTGTATGTGGATCACAGTGCAGGAACTCTGTGCTTCTACAGCGTCTCTGACACAACGAGCCTCATCCACACAGTCCAGACCACATTCACTCAGCCGCTCTATCCTGGGTTCAATGTTTATGGTCGTCAATCATCAGCAAAACTATTAGAAGTAAGTAATATGTAGAGATTTTACACATTGTACTGCTATATGCCAACTCTGAGTTCAGCTCATGAAGAATGGGGACAAAAACAAAAGTGTTGCGTTTATAATTTTGTTCAGTGTATGTAATACATCAGAATATTCATATTTTATGTGGATTTACCATGCACTTTTATCCAAAGTGGCTTACAAATGAGAAACAGTAAGATATTGTTGGTCTTCTGTTTTTTTTAATCTTTAAAACAAAACTACAGCTGAACTTCTGTCATTGACACATATGTGACCCTGGAGCACAAAAGCAGTCTTAAGTTGCTGGGGTATATTTGTAGCAATAGCCAAAAAAAAAACATTGTATGGGTCAAAATTATCGATTTTTCATGTCAAAAATCATTAGGATATTAAGTAAAGATCATGCTCCATGAAGATATTTTGTCAATTTCCTACCGTAAATATATTTAATCTTAAATTTTGATTAGTAATATGCATTGCTAAGAACTTCATTTGGACAACTTTAAAGGCGATTTTCTTAATATTTTGATTTTTTTTGCACCCTCAGATTCCAGATTTTCAAATATTTGTATCTCAGCCAAATATTGTCCAATCCTAACAAACCATACATCAATGGAAAGATTATTTATTCAGCTTTCATATGTATAAATTTCGAAACATTGACCCTTATGACTGGTTTTGTGGTCCAGGGTCACATATACAATTAGGCCTGTCACGATAACAACTTTTTGTTGTGCGATATATTGCCCCAGAAATAATTGCGATATTATTGTCATTTTAAAGACCATTTTATGCCTCTGAATATATAATCATAATGTAACAGTATAATAATGCAAGAAGGCCTACACACTTCCAAATGACAACAAACTTTACATTTTTAAGAATATTTAGATCATGGAAAATAAGTATCAAAATATCAGAAACCTTAAAAACTTGAATAAATAGTAAATAAACAAGTAACAAGTAGAAAAAAAGTAAATTAAAGGTGCACAATATTGCTAAAAAACACAATCACTACTTAGCAGTTAGATGTCCGTATGCACAAAGGCACAGATCCCTAAACTAGGCCATATCTGCAGATGAAACTTTGTAGAAGCATTTTTTAAATTTGAACTAGCACCTCATGACTACACCACATCATGTACGAGAAGCTGCAAAAGACACAGACGCAAGTGGAATGTACAAAACGTGGTGGCATACATTTTTAAAGGAGTCATATGATGCTATTTTAAAGATCATTATTTTGTGTATTTGGTGTAACAGAATATGTTGACATGCTTTAATGTTCAAAAAGCACATCATTTTTCAAATACTGTACATTATTGTAGGTCCTCTATGCCCCGCCTCTCTCAAACACGTCGTTCTCAACAAAGCCCCCTCCTTTGACAAGCACAGTCTGCTCTGATTGGCCAGCTGACGCAGTGCATTGTGCAGTGTGCGGCAGTGCATTGTGACTGGCCGAACACCACAAGCACGCATCGGAAATGCAACGCCCCTTACCATAATCACAGCTTCAGCTTTCAAAGTAAATATCAAGACAGTTAATAATGTCAGTTTTACCATCAGTTCAAGCCCGAAAGGGCAACAGAGTCACGTGACAGACACAGTGATGATGCAGTACACAAGCTGTGGTTAAGACAGCTGACATGCTATGATTTCTGACAGGCAGTTCACTCTCCTGTGATGTGACCCTGTTCCCCTCACACACACACACACACGACGCCTTATTCTGCGCTGTGCAAACTCTGCATTTGAACAGTCAATAGCAAATCCTTAAACTAATAACAAAACATACTTACAGTCGCTGATTCAGAAGCGCCAGATTGCCATTGCAAAGTCGGAATTGACCCTTTTTCTTTTTTTTTGGAAATAGCCTTTGTGCACAGCCAGCCTTGTACTCTTCTAGGTTCAACAGGTTGTGCTGTTCTGTTGTAGATAAATCTTAACAAATGATTCCTAATTGCATCTACTTCCGGAAGGCCAAATAAAGTGCTTTTGCTTTCGCACTGAAACACAGCGTCTCCCTGACATGGCTGCATCAGCATGACTGCTATTCCTGAAGCCACGCCTTCTTTCTTTGGGCGGCATTATGCTAATATTTCCACATAGTGATGTAGACATGTGGGGGCGTGTTAGAACGAGTCGTTTTAGGTAGGCGTGGCTGACTCTTAACTTTTATAAAGAATATCTCATTGGGTTTGAGACTTTAGTCTTTGCAACTTTACAGATCTTCTTTATGCTCCAAGAGCTTGTAACACTCCAAAGAGAAAGGAAAACTTGAAATCGCATCATATGACCCCTTTAAGAATATAGAGATAATAGAGAATATATCTTGAATATTTTGTCGTTTTATTTTTAACTTTTTCACTAAATATCCTACATATACTAAGAAATGGTGTGGAAATAACTTTCACTCAGAAATTGGCAGTAAACTTCACAAATAATCACAAATCAGGTGATACATTAAATTTAACATGAAATTTTAAAGTAGAAAGACTAAAATACTATTTATTTTTAATCTTCATTTTATATTCCGAAAAATATTTTTTAGTATAGTTAAGATAATCAGTTTAATTTATCTTGTTCTAAGGATGTTTTTACTTTGCTTTTTGATAAATATACTCCTTAAAGGGATAGTTCACCCAAAAATGAAAATTCTGTCATCATTTACTCACCCTCATGTCGTTCCAAACCTGTATGAGTTGCTTTCTTATGTTGAACACAAAATAAGATATTTTGAAGATTGCTGGTAATCAAACAGTTGGTGGTTGCCATTGACTTCCATAGTATTTTTCCCCCTACTATCTACTACCTACTATCTTCAAAATATCTTCTTTTATGTTCAACATAAGAAAGCAACTCATACAGGTTTGGAACGACATGAGGGTGAGTAAATGATGACCGAATTTTCATTTTTGGGTGAACTAACCCTTTAAGAATATGATTTTTGCTGTGTTGTAAAAAGAGAATGTTAGGCCTTAAAATAACCGACCATTTTTTAGTTTAACAAAGTAAGGTGATGGTACAGAGAAATAAAATGAGCATGTCTTTTATAAATAACTGTTTTATAAGATCAAAACATACACACAGGCAAAATTAGCTAATTACTAGCGCTGATGTAAAATGATCAGGTGAAGATAGCACATGCACTGATATCCCACGTGATAAAATTATAGTACAGCAAAGGCTACTTTCTCTTGTGCTCATTATCATGAGAATGGAAGAGACCACTGGGATACATTAGAGTGCAATGCCTGAGAGAAAACTATGGCAGATGCAAATCAACTCTGAGGCCCAGAGCCCAGGGACAGCTAACGTTACAGCTGACTATGAAGAGCCTTCCAGGTGTTCAAGCTGTTCAG